CTCTGAGGAGCACAGGGACTGGCCTCCTGCTGGTTCCAGAGTCAAAACTAAACAAGGGGTGGCAGCATGTCAGATTTATGCAGCAAAAATCTGGAACAGTCTTCCTGAAAGCGTGAGACAGGCTTCTTCTCTGACAATCTGGCACTTTGAGTTGTGTATGAACTAGTTCACTTTAGCTTGTCATTTTTAAATCACAAAATGGTGAGTGTGACACAAACCGTTACGGAGATACTTGATTTGCTTGAGGAGAGAATAATTGTGTCCAAAAAGAATTAATCACTCAAAAATATGTTTGTGTGAAGGAAAAGCAATTATACCCTGGATAAAGACTCTTCACATTTCTTTGATTTCATTTCATGGAATGAGTGATGTGGAAAAAAGGACTTTTAGGACAAATGAACAATTCCTTATTCTGCTTCACAAGAAAGACAGTTAATGAGAGAGACCAGAGAGAGACCAGAGAGAGAGACCAGAGAGAGACCAGAGAGAGAGACCAGAGAGAGACCAGAGAGAGACCAGAGAAAGACCAGAGAGAAAGACCAGAGGGAGACCAGAGAGAGACCAGAGAAAGGGACCAGAGAGAGAGACCAGAGAGAGACCAGAGAGAGACCAGAGAGAGACACCAGAGAGAGACACCAGAGAGAGAGACCAGAGAGAGACCAGAGAGAGAACAGAGAGAGAGACCAGAGAGAGAGACCAGAGAGAGACCAGAGAGAGACACCAGAGAGAGAGACCAGAGAGAGACCAGAGAGAGACACCAGAGAGAGAGACCAGAGAGAGAGAGAGAGACCAGAGAGAGACCAGAGAGAGACACCAGAGAGAGAGACCAGAGAGAGAGAGAGAGAGACCAGAGAGAGACCAGAGAGAGAACAGAGAGAGAGACCAGAGAGAGAGACCAGAGAGAGACCAGAGAGAGACCAGAGAGACCAGAGAGAGAGACCAGATAAAAGACCAGAGAGAAACCAGAGAGAGGCCAGCCATACACCAGAGAGAGAGACCAGAGAGAGACCAAAGAGAGAGAGAGAGACAAGAGAGAGACCAGAGAGCGAAGGAGAAAGAGAGATACCAAAAAGAGACCGGAGAGAGACCAAAGAGACGAGATAGAGAGAGAAAAAGAGACAAAGAAAGACCAGAGAGATAATGATACCAGCAAGACATAGACAAGAGAGAGAGGGAGAGACCAGAGAGGGACCAGCAGCTCTGCTTGTGTCTCTCCATGACTTCTCGCACATCTATGAAATCTAAACTTACAAACTTTATAATTCGAGAACATTTCTACACTTTTCCTCATTTTTTACGTCTTACAGCTGCACCCATGCATGTTCCCGTTCCCCTTCCCGCCTCTTGTTTCTCCATTTTCCCGAGTGACATTCCGATTCTGCGATGATGAGGTTTCTCTCACTCTTTATTTGTGCCTCTGCGACGGGACGTCTCAGCGGCGGTGAATCGTGTCGCGCCGCAGACCATAAAGCGCCGATCGTGTCAAACGCTTGATTTCTCCTGGTTTAATGTGGTTTTAGCAGAGCACACGGGCTGACGGGGGAGAGAGGTGGAGAGAGGAGAGAGGAGAGAGGCCAGGGTATCAGGGACTCAGACAGAGACCAGAGAGTGACCAGGGAGAGAGATAACAGGGAGAGAGACCAGGGAGAGACCAGAAAGTGAGGTACCAGGCAGAGAGATCAGAGAGAGACCAGGGGGAGAGATAGAGAGACAACAGAGAAAGCAGGGAGAGAACAGGGAGAGACTAGGGAAAGAAAGAGACCAGAGAGAGCGAGACCACAGAGAACGAGACCAGAGAGAGACCAGGTAGAGACTAGCAGAAGAAAGAAACCAGAGAAAGCGAGACCACAGAGAGAAAGGAATGAGAATGACAAGAGAAAGATTGGAGAGAGAGAGAGAGAGAAAGAGAGACCAAAGGGAGAGAGATCAGAGAAAGACCAGAGAGAGAGGAATGGGACAAATTTGAGGCGATTGAGGAGGACTGTGGAGGATAGATCTCTGTCACTTACAATGGAACCAATTTAGAGCATATTGTTTATATTTTCTGGCTTTTATGGGACCATATGTAACGACTTTAATGTAAACTCGGTACAAAACGTATTTCGTCTTAAAGATGGAACAAGTCTCTCAATCTGGTCTCTCACTCTGGTCCCTCACTCTGGTCTCTCTCTGGTCTCTCTCTGGTCTCTCACTCTGGTCTCTCTCTCTGGCCTCTCACTCTGGTCTCTCTCTGGTCTCTCTCTGGTCTCTCTCTCTGGTCTCTCTCTCTGGCCTCTCACTCTGGTCTCTCTCTGGTCTCTCTCTGGTCCCTCTTTCTGGTCTCTCTCTCTGGCCTCTCACTCTGGTCTCTCTCTCTTGCCTCTCTCTGGTCTCTCTCTCTGGCCTCTCACTCTGGTCTCTCTCTCTGGCCTCTCACTCTGGTCTCTCTCTCTTGCCTCTCTCTGGTCTCTCTCTGGCCTCTCACTGGTCTCTCTCTCTGGCCTCTCACTCTGGTCTCTCACTCTGGCCTCTCACTCTGGTCTCTCACTCTGGTCTCTCACTCTGGCCTCTCACTCTGGCCTCTCACTCTGGTCTCTCACTCTGGTCTCTCTCTGGTCTCTCACTCTGGTCTCTTTCTGGCCTCTCTTGCTGACCTCTCACTGTGGTCTCTCACTCTGGACTGTCAGGTTGGTCTCTGACTCTGGTCTCTCCCTCTGGTCTCTCACTATGGTCTCTTTCTGGTCTCTCACTCTAGTCTCTCATTCTGGTTTCTCTCTGGTCTCTCCCTCTGGTCTCCCACTCTCTCTCACTCTGGTCTCTCTCTGGTCTCTCTCTCTGGCCTCTCACTATGCTCTCACTCTGGTCTCTCACTCTAGTATTTCTCTCATCTCTCTCTTTTGTACTTGAAAATACAATAGAGATGACGTCTATAGAATGTACATTTTCAAGCAGATCATCCAATCAAAGAGCAGAACGAGGCTCAGTTCTTTAGGGGAAATTTGGCTCGGTTTTTGGTTTAATAACCTAATTACCGGACAAAAAATCAGCCCCACACATATTAAAATGAGAGCAGATACAATAGTCACACATGGCACACAGAGGTGGGACCGTCTCCAGCTAAACCCCAGCAGGTGGATCTCTGGGGCCAAACATGTGAGGACCATATTAGACCACTGATGTCACACACTGTCCCTTCTTAGTTTGTGATTTGAAACTGATTTTTGTGGCGCCACCTACAGGTGAAAGCCTGATCCTGTCAGACCTCAAAAGCTCAGCAGGGCAGGGCCTGGTTAGTACTGTGATGGGAGACCTCTTGGAACCAGCCTGAGGGCAAACTGTGGTTGTGTTTCTGAGGCAGTTCATCCATATTGTCTAGTGTGTTTGTGTGTGTGTCTATGTTTGTGTGTGTGTGTGTCTGTCTCTGTCAGTGTGTGTGTCTATGTCTGTGTGCGTGAGTGTGATTTGTACAGAATGAATAAATTATGTTAAATCAACAGAAAATTGCGGTAACAATTTCCACAATCTGCCGTAGAGACTTCACTGTCGTCGTGTTGTATAAAAAAGTGAACATTTTTTTATATAAATCCACAAAAAACTGTATTTGAACTTTTCACTTGTCACATGGAACAAACATCTCACTTTGTATTAAGGCACCGTTCAAGGTTCCACAGAAACACACAAACACACCGGCAATTTGATTATTTTTAGATTTTTTATTTTTATTTAGATGTTTTTTTTTTAAATATTATTTGTGTTATTATTATTACTTTTTCGTAATGTATTTAGGTAATATTTTAGATTAGCCCTCACTAATCAACAGCTAATTAAGTGCTAATTAATGTACCCTGACTCTAACGAAAGTGTCAGTTAGTGCTTAGTTAGATATTGAATAAGGACATGTAGAGAGAAAGAGAGACCAGAGAGAGATACAGAGAGAGGGAGAGAGATATAGAGAACAGAGAGAGAGACCAGGGAGAGGGAGATCAAAGACTAAAAATTGATTGATAAATATCAATTAATACATTAGCTCTTAATTAATAAGGGCTAAACTAATGTGCTACTGTATTTTTTGTTTTATTGCCATTTGTTGTTTGCTATGTGTTTCTGTATAATTACTGTGGGATGAAGCATTAAAAACACAAGTAACAAAGTTGGAGCTGTTCATCCTAAATTGTTTTTACAGAAGTAGAGTAGAGTAGAGCAGAGCAGAGCAGAGCAGAGCAGAGTAGAGTAGAGTAGAGTAGAGTAGAGTAGAGTAGAGTAGAGCAGAGCAGAGCAGAGCAGAGCAGAGCAGAGCAGAGTAGAGTAGAGTAGAGTAGAGTAGAGTAGAGTAGAGTAGAGCAGAGCAGAGCAGAGCAGAGCAGAGCAGAGCAGAGCAGAGCAGAGCAGAGTAGAGTAGAGTAGAGTAGAGTAGAGTAGAGCAGAGCAGAGCAGAGCAGAGCAGAGTAGAGCAGAGCAGAGCAGAGTAGAGCAGAACAGAGTAGAATATAATTAAATTGTAACTGTTGTCTGATAATGTATGTAATATACAGTATGTTTCTGTGTAATGTTGTTTTACTGTGACATCACCTGCACAGGGAACACATCTCTGCTTGTTTCTTATGGCTCACTGTAAAAACAATAAAACCAGACCAAAACGAGTTAAACTATTAAGATAAAAACTATAGGGAGAGGTAAAATCAAGATATATTTTTAAAAATATTGTTCACCAGGAAAAATCTGTTTAGATAAAGTGAAAAAACATGACAATATTATGACATTTGTGTCTAAAAAGAATATTGCAATGATATTCAACAATGCTGTGAGTTTTGGACGCATCCCAAAAGTACCTTAATACAAAGTGTCACAGATATCAATAATAATAGTAAACCCAGTTCTTGTCAGAGTATAGAGACATTTCAACATTTACAATCGTCAATATTTACATAGAATTTACAGTTTCTCCGACATTTCTCTCTTTGTGCAAAGTTCTCCCCAAGTGTCTGTACATGAGCGCCCCCTGCAGGCGCCGCAGGACGGTGCTAGATGAAGAACTCGCTGGGGCTTTGGGTGTGGGCCGTTTGAGAGTCGGCCAGAGAGAACTCCTGCCCGTCTTCGGACCGAGAGGCTGTGACCGGCGGTGTTCGGTACGTCTGCTTCCGGCTGCAGAGGAACCGAGCCGTGACCACGAGCGCCACCACAGCGATGAAGATCACCAAGGCGATGACTCCTGGAAGAGACGAGGAAACAGACGGTGAGAGACACAGGAAAGAGCAGCGGGTCAGAGATCAAAGAGATTAAATACAGGAAATGCAACGCTAAAAAAACAAAGGAGCCCATGGTTCACAGGGAGCCTCAGTCCTGGATCTACAGCCTCAGTCCTGGAGCTACAGCCTCAGACCTGGATCTACAGCCTCAGTTCTGGATCTACAACCTCAGACCTGGATCTACAGCCTCAGTCCTGGAGCTACAGCCTCAGACCTGGATCTACAGCCTCAGTTCTGGATCTACAACCTCAGACCTGGATCTACAGCCTCAGTCCTGGATCTACAGCCTCAGACCTGGATCTACAGCCTCAGTTCTGGATCTACAGCCTCAGTCCTGGATCTACAGCCTCAGTCCTGGGTTTCTGAGTGGTTCCTCTCTGATAGAGGAGGATCTTAGGACAGTGGTCGTCCTGCTCCCTTTGGACCAATGGCTCAGCGTTTGGTTCTCATTGTCTAATCATGCAGCTGTAATATATTCATGCAAACATCACATAAACAGTTAAAGACCACATTAAACCTCACTGGTCCACAGCCGGACGCCTCTTACACAACATCTTACAAGGCCTCATTACTGCGCAGATGCTGGAGTAGCCGGCTGCCCGTCGCGTTGTGCTCTCATCTATTTAATCCTTCTCATCGTCATAAAAAACGCGTTTTCAACATTTAGCTGCATGAATCTGAAATACTGTGTGACGTTACCTCCGATCAGAGCAGAATCGCTCCTGATGGTGTTGACGAGAGGCTGACCTGGATCCACGGAGCTGGGCTGGTCTGAAACACAGACACTGTTACTCTACAGATGTGTGAGACCTACAGCAGTGTTTTAGAACCAGTGTGCCATATGTTGTCATCACCTACTTCGTCAAAATAAAATAAAAAGAAAATAATGTCAGAACAACTTTTTTGTGCTTTTTTAAATTCTATGTAATACACTTTGATGAGAATGTCTCTGGTATATCTCTCTCTGGTCTCTCAATCTCTGGTCTCTCAATCTCTGGTCTCTCAATCTCTGGTCCCCCACTCTCTGGTCTCTCTGGTCTATCTCTCTCTGGTCTCTCAATCTCTGGTCTATCTATCTCTCTGGTCTCTCGCTCTCTGGTCTCGCTCTCTGGTCTCGCTCTCTGGTCTTGCTCTCTGGTCTCTCTCTCTGGTCTCTCACTCTCTGGTCCCTCACTCTCTGGTCTCTCGCTCTCTGGTCTCTCACTCTCTGGTCTCTCTTTGGTCTCTCTCTGGTCTCTCTTTCTCTGATCCCTCTCTCCTGATCCTTCTCTCTCTCTGGTCTTGATTTAACTAATTGAATTTTACAAATGATACATTAATTCTTATGATGATGAGTTACCAGATAAAGAGTGCGTGGTCTCTGCTGCGTAGGGATTGGCTGAGGAGGCGGAGGCACAGTTTGAATGGACCAATGAGCCGCTGATGATGGTGGAGGTGTCCGGCTTCAGCAGAGCGTTCTTCAGGGGAGTCATGGAGTTAAACCTCACCGCAGACAAACAGCCGCTGAAGCCCTGAGATGCAACCGCGGCCAGTTCTGGGTCCAGGTCCAGGTCCAGGTCTAGGTCTAGGTCTAGGTCCAGGAGCTCCATGTCTGAGGAGAACATAAGACACAGTCAGGATCACACAGAGAGAGACCTGGGGTTATACTAAACAACAACTCTTCCCCCAGTGCAAATCTAAACAGAGAAGAGTCTCTCCCCAACTCGGCTGTGTGGCCAAACCTGGACTCACTTGAGGAAATGGGTGGAGTCAGATGTGCTCCTGTGAGTTTGAATCCCTCATTTAGCCTCTTAATCTTGTTCTTGATATTTACTGTGGTCTTTCATGAATTAGAAATCGGTATTCTAAATTATACAGTATGAATGAGCATGTTGAAAAAAATAGCAACATGTAGAAGTCCTATCTAGATAAGTGTTATTTAGTGTTGGGAAATAAAATAAAATAAATGAAATAAGGCAAACTTACATCGAAACAATACAACAGCACAAATCACTTGATAAAATATTGTTTCCATGTTATTCTTCGTAAGTGAGGCCCGACCACACGTCACTGATTGGGACACACCCTCCGGCCCCCCTTCTTGTAGAGAGAGACCAACATCCAGAGACTCTAGAGTCAGGACGGATCTCATCCCAGAGGAGCCTTGCCACCAAGGAGGCTGCAAACCACCTTGGTGACTTCAGGGAGAGGGGAGTATGCGCCCCAACATCCTCAGTCTCTGCCTCTGGGACGGAGGACGTGAGCAGGAGACTGTTTTCTTGTTAGAAAACATGTTTTCTTTTGTGCCCTGGGAGTCACTATTGGACTCTTTGGGCTGAGAGCAGACAGCTGATCTGCAGATGTGACAAAACCAAACCGTATGGAGCTAAATTATATGTAAGAAACAGAACTCTCCGTCTCTCTCTCTTGTACAGCTGTTACATCTGTGTTTCTACAATTAGTTTGAACCACTTTATTTACTGTAAAGTCAGCAAAAGTCTTCATTTATTGTTGAACAATTGTTATTGCTCGCCGACAGCAGTCGCAGCTTTCACACATTCTGCTTTACTGTTTCTCCCTCGTTCTATTCCTCATTAACATTCTGTCAGTGGAGTGCGAACAGGAGATTCATTTTGAGCAGTTCCATATTTATACCACGTTGTCGATGCTTTTTGCAATTGATGGGAGTTTGAGTTGTGGCCAGAAGTTGCTTGTTTACAATATTTGAATAAAGGTTAATATTATGGAAAGAGAGAGATAGAAAGACACAGAGAGAGAGAGACAGAGAGAGAAAGAGAGGGAGAGAGAAGATAAATCATCAACTGGAGGAATATAGTGTTTGTTTAATGCTGATAACTTTATGATTTTATCAGAATTGCAATTCTTCTCTGGGCACACACTTCCCTCACAGTTTTCTCTCTTGTACGATCTCTGGTCTTTCTCTGATTTAAAGAGAGTTAAACCATAAGAGCAGTTATCTCAGCGGACTTTACAACGCTGTCGATTCACAAACACAGATCAGAGAATCAAACAGCTCAAACACAGGAAATGCAATGATAACAAACACATAGAGCCGTTACGGTCCAGAAGGGGTAGAGACCAATGTTCATTAAAGTTGTTGATCAAAAAGTGGCGTGGATCATCACCACTGTCCTGTTTCTCTCTGGTCTCATAGTGCTTTTCTTGTACAATATGTTGAACTTGTGGCACTTTTCTAACTGCAGTAACAGCTCCTTGTCTTCTTCCAGGTGGATGCTCAGACGAGTGCAGTGCCCTCTCGGTGTCTCCGTTTGGGCCTCGCTCCCCTGCTCTTCCTCTGGCTCCATTAGCTCGCGTGATGGATGACAGAGGAGAGACTGGGAGACAGGAGACAGCAGAAAATATCTTTCCTCCCTGGGAATATGAACTCAGTGGAGCTCAGTCAGGGACGTCGCTAACATGCTAGCTCTGTGACGCTTATAGTCTTAATAATTATAATAATAATCATTACATTTTATGTGATGTGTGTATAATGCACGTCATATTATTTTGTCTGAAATGTATGCAATGATTCAAAACCGTTCCATGTTTTGCCCTGAATCACAACAGCATTCGTTTTGGAGGACTTTACAAAAATTTTGAATCACACCAACAAATCACAAAATCAAACAGTTTGAACATAGGAAAAGTAATAATAACAAACACACTGAGGATCCAGGACTGAGGCTGTAGATCCAGGACTGAGGCTGTAGATCCAGGACTGAGGCTGTAGACCCAGGACTGAGGCTGTAGACCCAGGACTGAGGCTGTAGATCCAGGACTGAGGCTGTAGACCCAGGACTGAGGCTGTAGACCCAGGACTGAGGCTGCAGATCCAGGACTGTGGCTGTAGACCCAGGACTGAGGCTGAGGATCCAGGACTGAGGCTGTAGACCCAGGACTGTGGCTGTAGATCCAGGACTGAGGCTGTGGATCCAGGACTGTCGCTGTAGATCCAGGACTGAGGCTGTAGACCCAGGACTGAGACTGTAGATCCAGGACTGAGGTTGTAGACCCAGGACTGAGGCTGTAGACCCAGGACTGAGGCTGTAGACCCAGGACTGAGGCTGAGGATCCAGGACTGAGGCTGTAGACCCAGGACTGTGGCTGTAGATCCAGGACTGAGGCTGTGGATCCAGGACTGTCGCTGTAGATCCAGGACTGAGGCTGTAGACCCAGGACTGAGACTGTAGATCCAGGACTGAGGCTGTACCTACACCTACACCTAAAGCAACACAACTATAAATCATGAATTTGAATGTAATAATATTCAAAGTCCCCCCTCTCTCCAACACAACGGCTCAAAAACATCTTGTGTGAATCCATTTCAATCTAACTCTGTATCAGTGATATCTTTAATTAACAGTCCGTGCTTCAGTGCTCGTTCAAACGCTCTGTTCTGAATCTGCCTCGTTACACATTTTATTGGACATTAATTCGACAAGGGACCGAGGAGAGGGCTAACGGTTCGGCGACCCACCAACTCTGGCCACGGTTCAGACGAATGTGCTCAGGCAGGAATATTACACATTATTTTGGCAGATGCAAAAATGATGTAGAATAATGTCTTAGTTGTCCCCAGCAGCTTCCACAAGAGGAAGCTTCTGGGGTCCGCTCCACATGAGATCAATTCACAAAAGCTCAAACATACGATATAAAAAGCTATACAAAAAACCAAATAGAACAGAACATACATGACTGATGCTGGTGAGATCGAAACATCATCAAAACTCTGAATGTTGTGACACATTCAAAAACAATGTGAGCAAGTACAAGGATAGTCCACGACTGAATTCTAGAGATTCTGTGCTTTAGGGTGAGGAACAGTGTATGGGTGGAGCTATAGTTGGCTGGATACACGTTTCTGATTCAGCAAAAGAGAAAGAGAGAGAGAGAGACCAGAGAGAGAACAGAGAGAGACCATAGAGAGACAGACAGAAATCGGAGAGAGATGCCGGAGAGAGACCAGCCAGGAAAAGACAAGAGAGAGAGTGAGAGACCAAAGAGAGAGACCAGAGCAAGAGACCAGAGAGAGAGACCAGAGAGAGAGACCAGAGAGAGACCAGAGAGAGACCAGAGAGAGACCAGAGCAAGAGACCAGAGAGAGAGACCAGAGCAAGCAACAAGCAACATTACTTTTAATGTTGTTTTATGTCTGTATTTGTCTGTGCACACTGGTGACTTTTTGCTAATGTATTCCAATGTGTTTTTTTTACTGCAAATGGCAAATAAACGGAATCTGAAACTGAATCTGAAGAGACCAGAGAGGGACCAGCAGCTCCCAGAGACCTCACAGGGACCACAGAGAGACCACACAGAGACCGCACAGAGACCTCATAGAGACCACAGAGAGATAACACAGAGACCACACAGGAACCAGAGAGAGACCACAGAGAGACCGCACAGAGACCTCAGAGAGACCACAGAGACAACACAGAGACCACACAAGGACCAGAGAGAGACCACAGAGAGACCGCACAGAGACCTCAGAGAGACCACAGAGAGACCGCACAGAGACCTCAGAGAGACCACAGAGACAAAACAGACACCACAAGGGACCAGAGAGAGACCACAGAGAGACCGCACAGAGACCTCAGAGAGACCACAGAGAGACCGCACAGAGACCTCAGAGAGACCACAGAGACAACACAGAGACCACAAGGGACCAGAGAGAGACCACAGAGAGACCGCACAGAGACCTCAGAGAGACCACAGAGACAACACAGAGACCACACAGAGACCACACAGAGACCACAGAGACCACAGAGAGACCTCATAGAGAGACCTCACAGAGACTACACAGAGACCGCACACAGATACCACACCTGAAGTTTCCTGGTTCAAGCTTAACTGTCACGAGTGAAACGGTTCTCTATAAACGTCCTGTTAAGCAGCTAATGTCATATAATAATGTCATCCAGGGGGCGGTGTCAGAGCTCACCATCAACACTGACATTAAAGACACGTTTGGAAAAATAATGTTCTGGAAATGGACTTTTAATGAAACTCGTAAATGTCAAAGACGGAAGAATGTGCTCAGGCTACTCTCTGCAATTTCCTCAAATGACTGAAATGTCGTTATTGACTTAGAAAAACTACAAAACTTGGTCTCAAAACTCCTTCACTCCATTCTATTCCCATTCAAACTAATAGCAATTTAAGACATTTTATTGAAAGTAAGCTCACAATTTGTATTTGAATCTACCACAAACTCTTTTGCTGTTTGCTTCTTGGTTGTAGAGAGACCAGAGTGACCAGAGAGAGACCAGGGAGAGATCACAGTGACCAAAGAGAGACAATAAGGCGATCAGAAAGAGACCAGAGAAAAACCAGAGAGAGAGAGACCAGAAGGAGATCAGAGAGAGAGAGAGAGACCAGAGTGACCAGAGAGAGACCATGGAGAGATCCCAGTGACCAGAGAGAGACAAGAAGGCGATCATAAAGAGACCAGAGAAAAACCAGAGCTAGACCAGAGAGAGACCAGAGAGAGAGAGACCAGAAGGAGATCAGAGAGAGAGAGAGAGACCAGAGTGACCAGAGAGAGACCATGGAGAGATCCCAGTGACTAGAGAGAGACAAGAAGGCGATCATAAAGAGACCAGAGAAAAAAAAAGAGCTAGACCAGAGAGAGATCAGAGAGAGAGAGACCAGGGAGAGACCAGAGAGCGAGAGCAGAGGGAGACCAGAGAGAGAGCAAGAGTCTGATCAAAGCACTTATACTAAAGTAAAGTACTTATATTGACAATGTTTTTGTTAACAGAGATAATTATTTCTGTTCAATTTTAGCTTGTTTTATGTGTGTACTTGTCTGGTGCACACCGAGGACTCCTGCACATGTGGTTTTACTGCAATTAGCAAAAAAAACAGAATCTGAATCAATCAGTAGGAGGCGGAGTCTGCTGTGGGAGGAGCAGTGTGACTCCCTGATCTATAAAGTATTGGCTTGTGCAGTTTGAAGGCTTGGTACCCGGCTTTACTTTTTCTCTATCACTTCGACAAATACTTGAACAGAAGCAACATTTGTAAATAGTTGAAACGATAACCAGAGGGAGTCGGGGTCAGAGAGACTGTTAAGTGCAGTGTGTGACATCAGCCCTTCGACACCGGTGTGAGAACTCTCTAGAAATTTTACTTTGAGGGAATGTTTCACTTTTTCACCAAACACTGAGACACCTGCGCTTTTCTTCTGAGGTCGATCCACAGGTTTTCAATCATGTTCAGGTCAGAGACAGTGAAGGCCGCTGCAAATCCCTCTGGACGTGATCCAAGGTGTGTGTGTGTGTGTGTGTGTGTGTGTGTGTGTGCGATCGATCTAATCCATCTGTCAGCTTCAGGTCTGGGCCGAACGGCTGCATCCTTCTCCTGAGGTTCCCCCAGTGACAGAGACACACCTCAGGCTCAGAGTCACAGACAGACATCCTTCATACTGCAGTAGTCACAGCTGTCCTGAGGCAGACTGATGGAAGCTGTGCTGTTTATCTGCCCCAATCACACACAAAATGTACTTTCACACAACACACACACAGAGACACGCACAGACACACACACGGATACACACACACACACACAGAGACACACCTTCACTGTGGTATCGGGTGTTACAGAGGTCTCCCATCACATATTAACCAGACCCTGTCCCGCTGAACTCCTGATGTCACACATGCAGCTAAACGATCACATAAGAAACATGAAAGTCGTTATCCTCGTCCTGATGCGATCAGTCTGAGGCTCTGGACTCACCCTGGACTCGGCCCAGAATCAGCGCCTGCACCTGGGTCAGGTCGGCTCCAGGGGTCAGGTTGAACATCTCCAGGGGTCTCTGGTCGATCTGCATCAGGAGAACAAGCAAACGCTAAGTGACCAATGGAATGGATTTGTTGTTTCTTTCAGAAGCATTCAGAATTTCACTCTGAACCAGAGCAGAGAAAATGGTCTGAACCAAGCTGACTCTGCAAACCACAGCAGCTGCACCACCTCCTGCAGCTGCACCACCTCCTGCAGCTGCACCACCTCCTGCAGCTGCACCACCTCCTGCTGCTGCACCACCTCCTGCTGCTGCACCACCTCCTGCTGCTGCACCACCTCCTGCAGCTGCACCACCTCCTGCAGCTGCACCACCTCCTGCAGCTGCACCACCTCCCGCTGCCGCACCACCTCCAGCAGCTGCACCACCTCCTGCTGCACCACCTCCTGCTGCACCACCTCCTGCAGCTGCACCACCTCCTGCTGCACCACCTCCTGCTGCACCACCTCCTGCAGCTGCACCACCTCCTGCTGCCGCACCACCTCCTGCAGCTGCACCACCTCCTGCAGCTGCACCACCTCCTGCAGCTGCACCACCTCCTGCAGCTGCACCACCTCCTGCTGCACCACCTCCTGCAGCTGCACCACCTCCTGCTGCCGCACCACCTCCTGCAGCTGCACCACCTCCTGCTGCTGCACCACCTCCTGCTTCTGTTGCACTTTATTACTGTTGTTAGTCACTTTTACAATCATTTATTTGTTTGTTTGAATGGATCTATCCCTCTATCCATCTTTTTATATCTTTCTATTGATCCATCTATCTGTATATTTATCTATCTATCTATTGATATCTATCTATCTATCTCTATATTTATTTATTTTTTATTTCTATCGATCTATACTGATACTACTGTATACAGTATACTATACTGTATATCTATTTACCTATACATCTTTATCTATCTGTATATTTATAGTGGAGTTTAAAAGTTAGTTTGGGGAAATATCTCTTTAATGTTCTCTTAACTCCAGATAACGTTTTTAAATGCAGATTTAATCAAACACAAAACCCACAAAACAACAACGTGGTTCTATCGTCTGCTCCCATCTCAACCACACTTTAACAATTGGCAATTAATTCTGTCCCCACAAGACGTTTTATAGCTTGAATAATACAAAGGAGACGCAAGGGGGTAATGAAATGTGATTTGATTTTTAATATTCTGTGATATAAACAAGTCCATACTGCAGACTCTAAACACTGGAAGTGGATTAACATAAAGTTACAAGTTTAAAACAGACTTGTACTTTTAGTTTTCAGTTTTGGAAAACTTAGAGCCTGTTTCCACCAGCCCTACTTGTCCTACTCTACTCTACTCACCCCTACTCAACTCTACTCTACTCTACTCTACTCACCCCCAACTCTACTCTACTCACCCCTACTCAACTCTACTCACCCCTACTCAACTCTACTCAACTCTACTCACCCCTACTCAACTCTACTCACCCCTACTCAACTCAACTCTACTCTACTCACCCCCAACTCTACTCTACTCACCCCTACTCAACTCTACTCAACTCACCCCTACTCAACTCTACTCAACTCTACTCACCCCTACTCTACTCAACTCTACTCTACTCACCCCTACTCAACTCTACTCAACTCTACTCACCCCTACTCAACTCTACTCACCCCTACTCAACTCTACTCAACTCTACTCACCCCTACTCAACTCACCCCTACTCTCAACTCTACTCAACTCTACTCACCCCTACTCAACTCACCCCTACTCAACTCTACTCAACTCTACTCAACTCTACTCAACTCTACTCACCCCTACTCAACTCACCCCTACTCAACTCTACTCAACTCTACTCAACTCTACTCACCCCTACTCAACTCACCCCTACTCAACTCTACTCAACTCTACTCACCTCTACTCACCCCTACTCAACTCTACTCTACTCACCCCTCTACTCTACTCACCCCTCTTCTTTACTCACTCCTACTCAACTCTATTCTATTCTATCCAGGCCGAGCTGGCACTAAAGTTGGCCAGAGCGCTACTGGAAGCTATGGTTACCAAGGAATTTTCACAGATACTGGTAGAGTACAGTAAAGAAGAGTAAGAGTAGTAGAAGAGTAGAGTGCGGGAGAGGCCAGGAGGCCATTTTCAGTAACGAGTAATCTAACTAATTACTTTGACTTTAACGCCGTTATCATTGCCGACATCCTGTAACTGCACGTTACTCAAGTCGCACAATGGACTTTTTTTTAAACTTCATGATAGGACTCGTGTGCAAGTTGTCATGAGAGAAGGGAGGATGAGAAAAAATCTCAGCAATTATTGGCTGACGTAAAACATATTTCCTTTACAATCAGTGGGGGCGGGTCCCGGCTCAAAAGTGGCCAAAATGACGTGCACTGACATGCTTGCAATACCACCCCTGGCCGGTGGGGGTGGACCCAGACGAAGAATGAGCCAATGCTAACATATAGCATTGGTAGACCTCTCGAAAACGTCTTTACAGGATGGTCCAAAAGTTGGCTCTTGGCCCAAAGCTCCGTTCCACATGTGTGTCAACGCTGAGGGGGGTGGATTTTTATGGACCACTCTGGTTTATTTGCTGTGAATTATTGAAGTCTCTCGTTCAAATGTATGAAGCTTGCGCCGACTGACGAATGCGCTTTTTTCACAAGTTTCTTATGGGCGAGACCACTCATGGCCATTTTGGATAGCTCCAGTAGAGCACAATTATTGGGCCATTAGTTAGAACGGCGGAGATAGGCGTGACTCTGTCCGTTACTATATACAGTCTATGATTACAATCTACATGTCGACAGTTGAGATGATGGGTCATAAATTGTGTTTTTTGAAAATAAATATGGCGCATGTGAGCACAGAATTCAGCTGCATCCAATTCCATCAGAAAGCTCCTTTCTTGTTCTTCTTCTGCTAAGGGCAGCTACAGGTTTGGCTTTCATACAAATAACACATAACACATATAATATATAACATATAACACATATAACATAAAACACATTTTAAGATAATTTAAAATGCACTTAGGGTAATGTTCCAATGACGATAGGAATGATAAGAAAGAGAGGTGAAGGGTAAGAAGGTTGATTTAAAAAATCGGATGCACCCGAGACTCGGCTGCAGCGAAACACAAGAGAAGTTGGAGGAGACACCTGTATTGTTTTCCTTTTTAAAACTCATTGGACTTATTTCCAAATGGAGGATTACATATCTACTATTATCTGGACCTAAACATGAAACTGGTCTGAACTGGTCATGTTTAAGGTAAGGCCCAGAACATGCTAGTATGCTTTTTCATACTTTTGCGTTTTGTATGAGCAAACAATGCAGGCATGAAACATAATCTGCTGTAGCCAAACTAATTGTTAATCAGCCGCTCTGTAGGTCCTGTTGATTTATATGATATATATGTTCCTCTGATTGGGGTGAAGTCAGTGCCACCAAACCTCACCGCACGTCACTGGTGTTTCCACATTTACAGTGACGAGTGTTTAGTGCTTACAGCACAGAGAGAGATGAAGAGTGAGGAGGACTCCAGCAACAGAACAGTCTTTTCCAGATGGAAATATTGGCACTATTTCAAACTCACTGAGGTTAAAGGTCCTATATCACGCTTTTCTTCATGTTTCGTACTCAATCCTATACACATGTGTGATATTAATGTGTATGATACACCACACAACAATCAAAGCTTGTGAGATTAGAGCCATCTCTTGTGTAGAGGTGACGTCACCTCGACTCAAACGAGCTGATCCAGAGAAGAGTCTGCTCCTCTGTCCGTGAGCCCGCCTCCCCCCGCCCGCACGGTGACGTAGCATCACGCTTTTGTCGTTTATCACCTGTACTTAGTAATTTCATACAAAAGAATAAAGTTTTTCCAACAATGACAATCCGTCACATCGAGCCCTATGTCCTCGATGCACAATCAGACCCTAGTTATTTAGTTTACAGAAGTATACAGCGAGTCATCGTGACGTGACTTCCTGTATCCGGTGAGCGTGTTTCTTGACTGCTATCACTCTGCTCTCTGTTTGCACTAACAAACACATTACAAATCCACGTATTGTACACCAAGCTAACTGTGTAAGCACTCCGAGTCAGCTGTACTGTAGCTGAGGTTTAGGTAGCGGTTGTTTGTCTGGTCTCGGAGTCTGTTGTGCGGGCCCGGATCCGTACTAGCTTAGCCTAGCCTAGCTTAGCCTAGCCTAGCCGCTAACTCGCTACTATGGCGGCTGCTGTCTCTCCCTCAATCCTTTACTGCTCGAGTTGCCATATGGCGAGTCTAAACCCTGGATCCTTCTCTGAGGGTAGTGATAGATGTGTGAAGTGTAGTGTAGTCGTAGCTCTGGAATCCAGGGTCAGTGAGTTAGAGCTGCGTCTCCGAGCACTGGAGTCTCGAGCTAGCGCTAGCATTAGCTACAGCCAGGCCGTATCCTCAGGGACAGCGGAGCGCAGCTTTAGGGAAAGGCAGAGGAGAACTAGCGAGCCTAGCCTCCCAGCCCGTCCTCCGCAGCTGGGACAAGACCAGGATAGTGATGGCTTTGTGACTGTTCGGAGAGGGCGACGTGTTGTTGGTAGTTTCCCCATTGGGCCTCCTCCTGTCAGCATTTACAATCGCTGGGACGCTCTGTCCGGCTGCGCCCCCGCGCGGCCGGGCGGGGAAGAAGGCCCCACTGAGAGAGCCGCTGAGAGAGCTGCTGAGAGAGCTGCTGAGAGAGCCGATGGAGTCGCTAATGCGCTGGTAATTGGCTCCTCTATTGTTAGAGGTGTTAAGATCCCAGGAGCCACTGTTCGGTGCTTCCCTGGGGCCAGGCTTGGTGATATTGAAGGGAATCTGAGGCTCATGATGACCCACAAGCAGCGTTTCCGTCGAATTGTTATTCACGCGGGTGGTAATGACGTTCGGCGGAAACAGTCCGAGGTGTTGAAGCTGCAAGTCGCCGCCGTGTGCAAGCTGGCTAGCACAATGGCCGACACTGTCATCTTCTCTGGGCCCCTACCTAGCACTAGCAGTGCAGAAGCATTCAGCAGACACTCGGCTTTCAACCGCTGGCTGTCTGGCTGGTGCCCTCGAAGTGGTGTTGTTCATGTTGACAATTGGAGTGCCTTTTGGGGAAAGCCCGGTCTCATCCGCTCGGATGATATCCACCCAACGTTGGCGGGTACATCCCTTTTGGCTAAGAATTTGGCCCTGGCTCTAAACTGTTCTGCTCGGCTCAAATGACGGTGCAGAACTGAGGCCCGGGTGCAGAGCTGCTCTGCCACAACCTCTGAGCCCCCATCTGTTCAGTTACTAGCCTCAGAGGCTAGTCAGATTGAAACTGTGTGTGCATGTGTGTGTGTGCCTGTGTGTGCTCAGTTACTAGCCTCAGAACCTAGTCAGATTGAAACTGTGTGTGTTCCCCGCTTGAAGTCTAAAGCACTATATGCGAGGAAATCTGACCTAGGTGTCAGACACAGTAACTTAATAAAAGTTCAGACAGACAGAAATAGTTCTAGCGGTAGGGTTGTTAAATGTGGTTTAATGAACGTCAGATCAATCTCGTCTAAATCGCTTCTCATAAACGAACTTATTATAGACAAGGGCTTGGATCTGTTAGCGCTCTCGGAGACTTGGCTCCAACAGGACGAGTACGTTAGATTGAATGAGTGCACTCCTCCGACGCATGTTAACT